GGCCCCGCTGCGCCCCGGCTCCAGCAGTGCCGAGAAGCGGCGCCGGGCGCCCAGGGGGGGGCTGCCTTCGCCCTCCGCCCTCCCGGCCTCCGTGCCCGTTGCCTGTTTCCTGCAGGGCCCAGGAGTCTGGGTCTGTGCCCCGCCTGGGGGCCCAGGCGTCCGGGAAGGGCCGTCCCCCATCCCATCCGCTCCTCTTCCCCCCAGGGGCCCAGGAGTTCAAGATGGGCCTCCATCTACCCCCCTCCCCCCATCAGGGGCCCAGGCATCCGGGAAAGACCCCCCCTCGCCAACCTCCCTGAGGGGCCCAGGCGTCTGGGAGGGGGGTCCCCATCTGCTCCCCCTCCCCCAGCTGGGTCCCCCACCCCACGCATGCAGGGGCCCTGGCGTCCGGGCACTCACAGCTCAGGGGACGCCGTGCGCCAGCCCCGCTCATCCTGCGCCCGCGTCCTGCCCGGCGCCTTGGGCTCCTGCTGCACCAGCTGCTCCATGCTGCTGTAGACCTGCAGAGCACGTGGGGAGCGTGCACGGAGTGTGCATGGAGCGTGCACCGAGTGTACACGGAGTGTGCGTGGAATGTGCATGAGGCGTGTGCATGGTGTGTGCACGGAGCATGCAAGGAGTGTGCATGCAGCATGCACAGAGCACACAGAGCGGGCATGCGACGTGCATGGGGTGCGCGTGCATGGAGTGTGCATGGGGCGTGCAAGGAGTGTGCATGGAGCAGGCACAGAGCACGCACAGGGTGTGCACAGGGTGTGCGTGGAGCAGGCACAGAGCGTGCACGGGGTGTGTGCAGGGTGTGCGTGGAGCAGGCACAGAGCACGCACAGGGTGTGCATGGAGCAGGCACAGAGCGTGCACGGGGTGTGTGCAGAGCTTGCATGGGACTCGCACAGGATGCCCATGGAGCGCACACAGAGTGTGCGCAGGGCGTGCACGGGATGTGCATGGAGCTCCCGGGACTCGCATGGAGTTTGAACGGGTGCTCGCAGAGCTCACACAGGGCACACATGGGGTGCGTATGGAGCACACACGGCGTGTGTATGGGAAGAGGCTGCGGGGCTGCAGGGAGCGCAGGAATGGTGCGGCTTGCGCGGGAATTGCAGTGATCACAGGGAGCGCTCAGCGACCACCGGGAATGCATGGGGAGCGCAGGGACCGCTTGGGGATCGGGGGGCTGTCGGGGAGCGCAGGGCCC